GAGGACATGGTCCCCCACATTAAAAATAGGGAGCAGAGACTGACATTTTAAATGAAAAATTCAGGGTGCCATGGAACTTTATCCAAGCACCTTGAGACCATTATGACTTTCCTTTCTACTGATAACAATAGATATTACTGCTTTATATGTTTAGTAGTTTCATATTGCGTGCTAGAATAGAGTAAATTCTGAAAGCATTTCTCAAAAGAAAATAACATCAATGATGTTAACTAAAGGAATAAATACATACATTATTAAGCTTATTTTATGAGCGAAGCAGGGTATAGATCTATATTTAAAACTTAGTCCTTTAAATAAATTGGAAAAGTAATTTGATGTCTGGGTTCCAGATTGTCTTTCTCAAAAACAATGGTTTCCAGTCACTGTGGTGCATGCCTATAATCCCAGCACTCAGGAAAGACAGGTAGAGTGATACTCTTTCAAGACACTCCTCGGCCAAATAGTCAGTGAGGCCAACCTGGCTACATCTATATAAATAAATAACAAATACATAAATACCCTATTAACAAATAGTCACCTAACTTTTATTACCCATATATGTGAAGCCTTTCTGTAGTACATAATACAATATTTGGATATCCATGCATGGGTTGGTGGGGGAGAGGGAGTGAAAGATAGGGGGGGTAATTGACACACCCAGGCTTTTCAGAGTAATCATTACTTCTCTTCTCCACATGCAAAGGATGTTTAAGATCTCCTATAGAGTATTAAGCACTCTACAGTTAACTGTTGTTATCCTGCTGAACTACAGAGCTTCAGAACTTATTGTCCTAAATAAAACTGTGACATCTCCCCAAATGCAGCATTTCTTTCTTCTAGTTTATAAGACTGTTTAATCCAGTGTTTGCATGGAAACCTACTTTAGGATCCCCTTTCAAGCCTCTGAAGCTGCAGAGGGCCCTAAGAACTTGGTGACAAGTGAAGAACTGTAATCCTGTCTTTAAGTTCCCAATGTAATGTTTTCCTAAACTAACTGGCTAGAGAGTACTCATATTACCTCCAAATTGTCGCCAGTGGGAAACATAAAACCCAAATGCCTAGAAATTTCATTAAATGTCTCTCTTTGACCAAGAGTTATGTCTCCCTGTTGGGTCTGACTAATAAAAGTTGTAATTAATCTGAAAGGAAGAACTTGGAAAAGACAGAGAGAGCTTAAGTATTTATTCCCAGACTTTTTGACATGGAAGCTATTTCTATTATCATTTGTAAGACGGCTGGGTCAGCTACTCCATCAAAAAATTTAATTTCCTTAACTTGAATTCATTCTGATGGGACAGAGTTACCTACAAGGGAAGCCACACATGCCGTGAAATGAATTATATCCTGTGAGAGAAAAGGAGGAAAGGCATTGCCAACCCATAGAAATGGGAGAAAAAAAAAAAAACTTCTATCATCTGATTCAGAAAGCAACTTTGATACTTAAATAAGTAGAAAAGAATTCTTCTTTGTAAAATAATGGTAATGGGTGATTATGTTATCTCATTTCTAGAAAGGGGGGAAACATAAAATTCCTCAGATCTGTTTCAGAATGCAATCTCCATATCTTCAATATTTGCCCAGAATACCTATGCAGAAAGAAAAACATTTTATGATACTACAATGGCTATTACTAAAAACTAAATAATTCAGTTTCTCTACAGAAAGGCAAAAATGGAACAGGCCATCAAAATCTAGTTCTTGAAGGCTAATAACAGTGCATTTCAACAGCTCAGTCACGTGAATTAACACCTGCCAGCTTCCAGACTAAACATGACAGTTTCTATTTTCAGTATACAAGTAGATTGTCATTTCCATTTCCATTTTATATCATAGAAAATGAAGTTTTAATTTAGCTAGTATTAAACAGAAAATCTTGTTTTGGGGAAGGCTTCGTCAAAGCAGCTGTTGGCACAGACTGCCATAATCTAGAGGAATGCAGAAACATTCAAGAATATCAAACTTTTTCTATTTATTTCATTATTTATTCCCCTGCCCTTCTTGCTAAGGGGATTTCTGTGTAAAATGCTGGGCTAGTTTAAAGATTAAAGTGTTAGTTGAATTATAGTGGAGAGTCCATCACTGAGCATGGAGAGCTAACAAGGCAGAAATTTAAAACAGGAACCTGAAGCAAGGAAGAACACTGCCTACTGACTTGCTCTCCATGGCTTGCTCAGCTTGCTTTCCTATACAACCCAGAACCACCTGCTCAGGGGTAGACCCACTCACAGTGGGCAGGGTCCTCTCACACCAATCATAAAACCAGAAAAACAGGCCAGTCCCTCTTCTCAGGTTCAGATGACTCTAGTTTGTGTCAAGCTGACCAAAAAAGAAAATAAGGAAATAAATTAAACAACTAACTTGGAAAAGAGGTAAGTCCTATGTATATGAAATAGTTGGCACTTTTAAACTATTGAGCTAAAAATTAGTAATTCTTTACTCATCACAGTCTGTGTCCCTCTCCTAAGTTGAAACCAGCCTTCTTTAATTCATTCACATTAACCAATAGATCTTATGTCTAAGCAACTAGAATCAAAACATGAGTTAGTATGTTAAGGTTGGGCCTTTATAGACAGTGAGACAGAACATTTATAGAGATTTGTATCGTAAAAGTATACTTATTTTATTTTATGTGCACAAGTGTTTCCCTCCATGTCTGTGTACCATGTGTGTACCTTGTGCCAACACTAGTCAGAAGAAGGTGTCAGATCTGTAGAGCTGGAGTTATAGATGGTTGTGAGCCACCCTGTGAGTGCTGGGAACCAGACCTGGGTCCTTTGAAAGATCAACAAATACTCTAAACTACTGAGATAACCTATGTGTAATAATTTTAAAAAGCACAGACTACTATAAATCAAATGGGAGAGACCGTATACTTTTGGGTTTGAAGCTTATTTTAAACACTGACCATTTTAAATGACTGCAGAACCTGGAAAAGCTGTTGCTGCTATTGATGCATAACATACTGCCATTATTGGTCTTTTATATAAATATAAATATATAGACATATATAATTTGAATTTTTGGAAACTTTAGCTGTGTTGTCATCTTTGGAAAAAGGTATTCCAGTTTACAGTGTTGAGTTGGCATTGTACAAAAATTAACAGCCATATTGGTCTAGAAATGTTGAAATTAATTTTTTCCATTTGTACAGGGTTAACACGCTGTATTAAATATGTAAGGTCTTAAAAAAAGAAGGGATTTTGAGAGCCCATCCCATATGAAGGGATGCTCTCTTGTCTGGACACATGGGAACAGCCATATTGGTCTAGAAATGTTGAAATTAATTTTTTCCATTTGTACAGGGTTAACACGCTGTATTAAATATGTAAGGTCTTAAAAAAAGAAGGGATTTTGAGAGCCCATCCCATATGAAGGGATGCTCTCTTGTCTGGACACATGGGAAAGGGCCTAGGCCTGGCCCAAGATGATGTGGTAGACTTTGGGGAGCCCCTTTTTTAGGGCCTTACCCTGCCTGGGGAGTGGAGGGGGGATGGCTAGGGGTAGCTGGGATGTTGAGGGAGAGAGAGAGGGAGAAGGGATTGACATGTGAAGCAAGCTTGTTCCTAATTTGAACTAATAAAAGAATAAAATATAAAAACAAAAAAAGAAAAAGAAAAGTCATATTTGTAAGACATGAATTAATCATGTGTGTTTTCCACTCATTTTTATGATTTTTCCAGTTCATATCTGAGTCAAAAGAGAACAGGATGGCTCCCTGCCCTGACAAAGAAAAGTATGGTCTCTTTCTTGCCTGTTAAACAAACAAGATTTTAAGGAATTTCCCTACCAGCCTCCAGGACTTGGCAGTAATTTCCAATTCTATGGTCCTTTGCTTATTGAACAAGCAACCTAGTTCCTCTTGATATGTGCCAGAGCAAACTGATAGCTTTGCATGGTGTTGATAGAAAGGGTAGTTTTGAAATATTCATTTTCTTAAAATACTTTGTCTTCAAAACAAAACACTGACCAATTTTAACTTGAGCTGCTTTCTAGCTTTTAATTTATTATTATTATTATTATTATTATTAGTTGTTGTTGTTGTTGTTTTTAAAAAAGAAAAGAAAAAGAGTATCTTTGTTTCACTTCATTGCCATATGGGAATTTTGAAAAGCAGTTGGAAGTTTCTCTGGAGTGGCCTTAAATCTGTTCATCTGGCCTTCTATAAATAACAAAATGAGCACATCAAGCACAGAGTAGATGGGGACACTGTCTTCAAAATTTCTCTAGAAAATGATATACCTCTTGGAGTTTTGTTGGTTGGTTATTAGCAGAAACCAGATGGAGAATTGCACTCTCTCCCCAGGACACTAATAGAAACAAGTTCTGAGATTTGTTTCTGAGTTTTTCTTGCTGAAATATGTTCTAACACAACCTTAGGGGCTCAAATTATCCTGACATTTCTCTATGAAGCAGTCAATATGCATCAGTGACCTTTGTGTAATTAGGTAAAGAAACTCGCCTCAATTACTGTATTTAAGCTTTATATTCTTTGCAATGGGCTACACACCCAAACTCGCTGGAATATCAAGGCCATTTTCTGAGCTAAGGTGGAAATTCAGCCTGCCTGACTTTACTGAAGCGGCTTCCAGCTTTGACCTTTACAATGTGTGAATGATTGTCACAGATGATGCGGCATAAAGGTTAAAAATATAACAAGCTGTATAGTGGTGATATTTTAGAATTAGGACACATTTTCCCTAGTCTATCCATTTTCCTCAAGAGATAATATGCCTGATTCTAAGACTAAATTCTAAGACTTGACTGTGTGTAATTTTTAATTTTCATATCATTTCTCTCCTACATAAACTCACTCACTCTTGCTTGCTTTCTTTAAATTTTGAAACGAGTTATTTACTTCATGAAGATAAGCTTGAATTTAGAAGTTTCCACAAACCACATTTTTCCATAAGTAAAGGGTAGTTTACTTATAGCCATTTGGTATAATGTGCACGAAGTTCTACGTTTGGTTGTTTATTACTAAACCAGCCTCTCTTTGATAGATTTTAGCAAAGAAAACAGCGCAAATGATCCCGACGATTCTACAGATACAATAAGACATTATCACAGTTCCAAGAAGCACTTTGAAGAGAGGAAAAGCAGATCGTCATCATTCATCTCCTCCATCGATGATGAACAAAAGCCACTCTTCCTGAGAACAGTAGATTCTACTCCAAGAAAGGTGAAAGCAACCCGACTCCACAGCGAAGAAACAATGCCCCCCTCAGGAAGAATTCACACGGATAAAATAAGTCAGTCTTGCAGAGGTAACTAAGTTTCAGAGGTCTCTCCTCGTGGCTAAAGGGAAACAATTGCTTTCCTTTCCTTTTTCTTTGTTTTTGTTTTGTTTTCGTTTGTTTTTCGAGACAGGGTTTCTCTGTGGAACAGTCCTGGCAGTCCTGACTCAATTTGTAGACCAGACTGGCCTAGAACAAACATAAATTCGCCTGCCTCTGCCTCCTAAATGCTGGGATTAAAGGTGTATACCACCACCTCTGGAAAACATTGCTTTTCAAAACCAAGAACTGCACAAAACCAGTGTAAGACCCTCGGAAAGCCCAGGCTTCCAGAATCTTAGCCCAGGA